TTTGCAAATGTTATTTATATTTTTATCATGTTATTTATAGCTGTTTTAATCATATTTTAAATCATATTATTTATTAGTATTTATTGACCCTTTGCTTAATCAAATTATTTATTAGTATTTATTGACCCTTTTTAAAACTTTTTATCATGTAATGCTCTGTTACGATTGAGTCTATTTGTAACTCAATACTCAATCATCTACATATGATTATGATTATGTCATGATTATGTTGAAATCAGGGTCAAGCTGATGAGTCCATTCTAACACGAAAGGGGAGGACGCTTTGACAGTTAAAACAGATTTGACAATCAGATACTATTTTGATGGTGTGGTTTTTTTGTTGTTGTTTTTTTAAGTAAACTATCTCATTTAACCAAATTGCTCTGAGGCCTCGGTCATTAGTGGCACTGAGGGCAATTAGTTGGGCAGCCACCTACTTTTGCCTAACGATAGCGCCGCCTCTAGGTGCAGGTGCTGGGGTTTAGATCGAGACTATTCAGATCAGAAAGGGTTGTAAGTTTTAGCACAATTTCAGCATTAAAACTGGCAACACAAATGAGAGACTCGTGAGGCTCATTCTGATTCATCTTTCTGATTCCTCTTGAGAACAGAAACACCAAACAACAGGATAAATAACTTGGCCGGCTTGCCCAACGTTTATATATCCACAGGGTTGAAGGTTCACATCCTCACAACACTAGATCTCAGCTAACACGCATGGATTATCTGTTTTGTCTTGCACAGAAAAGAGAAGAGCGTCATTGTGAAGAGGCATCTGAGGGTGGGAGCCATGAGCTTGTTCTTCAGATGATCCATATCAAATGAAAACACCAAGACAAGGTCGCGCTTCAGATCATCTGAAATCCCGATAATGTGCAAAAACATGTGTAATAGATGTTATCCCCGTGACCTTTTATCGTTTTGATGGACGGTTCTGCAGAGTCGGACTGAAGGCGTGTCTCGATCTGGCAACTGGGATTCGCCGCTATCGCTGTTTCAAATGTTACACAATCCACAAGTTTAAGTGAAGAAACACACGTAAACAACACACCCAAGTGAAGATTTCAACAGCTCTGCTCCTCCTGTAAACCGGATCACACAGTTCTCCACACAACATCCTCTCCATCTGCACAAAGTCTGTTTTAGAAGATTATAATAATTCTCTCAAACCACTCTCAAAAGCATGTGTGTTAGCAGGCATGGAGTAGACTTATGGAACAGTTTACACGATCATATCAAAGCTTGTATGAACTTGTTGCACTTCAAAAAACAATATAAAAATCTAATCTTACAGAAATACCTAGAAGACTAAATCCATTGTCCAAAGTGTGACTATTAACTAAACGCATGCTTTTCTTTAACTTTTTAACTTTATACGTTGGTATGGTTTGTATGACCATAAAGGAAAACAAAAAATGCTTAATTTTTTCATTCTCATTACTGTTTGTTTTGTATGATCATAAACGATAAACTTTTGCGCCTCCTTCATTACAATTATTAGTTTGTACAATCATAAACAAAAACAACAATTTTTCATTCTCATTACTGTTTGTTTTGTACGACTATAAATGAAAACAAAAATTCTTAAATTTTTTATTCTCATTACTGTTTATTTTGTACGATTATACACGATAAACTTAGTATGTACAACTATAAACGAAAATATGTTTCTGCATGTATGTATATGTGTGTTATGTGTATAAACATTTATATTGAGTATATGTACTGATATCTATGATGTGTATATGCATGTATGTATGTATGTACATATGTGTGTACATGTATATGTATGTATGTGTGTGTGTATATGTTTTTGTATATATGTGTGTATATTTCTGCATGGTAAGCACTCCAAAGGTGTTAAAAAAAAAAAAAAAAGTGAGCCATGTGATTTTGTAAAACAATTGGGGTAGGACTCTATAAGTTCTTTAAATTTCATCCTACTCCTTTTGAGCACCAAGTCCCAAATATGTTCATGTACATATCACTATTTTTGTTATTGTTTTTGAAGTTTCTTGTACCTGGCTCAAATAAATAAATAAATGAAATGAAATGAAATGAAAAGATTATAATAATTTGTCCAAATGAAATGTTCTCATGACAAACACGAATATGAGTCAGTCAAAGAAACTCGACTTTTGGATTACGATCTTCAACTTCTGCACCTGTGGCCTATTTCAAAGTGGAGGATCATGTTAAAAAAATTCTAAATAATGTTTAAAACATTCAAAGCAAACCCACTAAACCATCATTTAATCAGTTTCAATCTTCACAATATCGATCTGCATTTATAATCAACGTTGATTTTAACAGAAAAGCTCCTTGTTTGTGTTTTAATTTGATTTCAGAGACAATTTAATTCACGAGTGTAAACCTTGACATTGAGTCGTTTATAGAGCAGCAGCGACCTCAAGTGGACAATGAAGATATTACAATTTTGAGATCACTTTATTGTATTGCTCTTAAAGTTTGTATTTAGACTTTTTGACAGTGCACAATCGTGAACATTTATGATGTGTAATTCACATTTCAGTGGGTCATTCACCTCAAAATGAACAGTAGTGTGTGCTCTGCCATCTCCAAATATAGTAATGTGTTTGTATTTTGTGTTTGTTTACTAAAGGGGCAATGTATTTTTTTATTATTATTATTATATTTTTTTTTTCATAATTTGTCAAGTTTGAGGGATTGGATACCCAGCACATCAACAACAACACAGACATAACTAAATATAAAACTAACACGCATACAAATAAAATAAAATAAATAAAATAATAATAATAATAATAAAATAAAAAAAATAAATAAATGTTTAAATAATTTTTTTAAAAGGGGTTGGGGGGGTTGGGGAGGGTGTGTGTAGTACAGAGTTTCTCAATGCAGTGTTTGCATGTGTGTATTTACATTTTAGGGCTGTCAAATCGACTTTTGAACCGTGCCGTGTTGTGTAGGGTTTTATGTTCCGCACTCACACCCAACCAAACCGAGCCATGGCAGATGACATATCACACAGCGCTGTTTGTTTACATGATGGGCTGCAGAGCTAACGCTTTTAGCAGAGAAAATAACTCCATTTCCATAGTCCATCGCAGGTCATTCCCTGAGCTCCTGATGCGATGGACAGTGTTTACGCAACTGTAGTGGTTTTAGAGAACATATTTTGAAGTTTATTTTGACACCACGCGCTTATTTTCTGTCTTGCCCCGATTAAGAGTCTGGAGATGCTCCACTGACACTGCACAATTAGAACTTCACCTTATTTTGAGCGGCATGTGGCGTCATGACGGTCGTGCATATAACACTGCTGATGTAAATTGTCCGACCGGTCAAAATGGAAAGCCATACCTGCGCGTGTGCTGCACTTATGCTGTTACACTTTGGTGTAAGTTGGGGGTTGGATTGGGCGCCGCTGCCGCCTTCTCCACAGCAAATGTTGTAGCAGAGTTTGGTGCAGATAAATCAAAATTTGTATGATTTTGTATGATTTGTATGTATCTAATCCATGATTCTTATTTTCCTTGCTGTGACACCTGCTTCTGTATGGCCTTGTTTTTATTTGGTGGCAAGTCCACGCCCTCTGTCGATGACGCATCATGGGTTCACTTCAACGGTATGAGCTTGGGTCGTTCACGGTAAGAATTTTGGTTCCCAGTGGAACTGGCGCGGGAACCGTCAATGGCACCAGCACCACTCTGGCCGGCCTGAAAACAGCTGTTGAGACGTCAGCAGTTCCAGCTTGACAGCGAGCTCAACTTTGATTCAGTGATGAGACAGTTGTTGTAGTTTTCACATTTAATGCTCATCTTATGAATGCTGAGTGAAACTGCAAGAGAAAAGTCATAATTAAAACTGTAATAATTTCACATTTCAACACATGTATATTGAGAGCTCAGTAACTTCTAGTAAAGCAGTTACAACAAATTGCCCATAAAAGGTATTATTTTAACATGAAAATAAATAAATGAATTCATCACAGATCTGTTTTACATTAGCATATTATATGAGGCTGTGTGATACAAAGAAAATAACCATTAACATAAATCACGGCTGACTATTATAAAGATAACGTCTTTTTAACTTTACAATTTCATTTTTAAGTAATTTATATAGGGAGTGACAATTCAGATCAGAGAGAGGCATTTTAGGCTTAAACCAAATGGATTTCATCTTATAGTCCGGAATTTACGGTAAATAGAGAATTGATTTGCTTGTCCATCTTAAAAGAGCTGTCAAAAATTACCCCAGGGTTTGTGTCAGAGGGCCAAGCGCATTATTACCTGGTCCCGGAAGGGTTGACCAGGTTTTGTATTAACCCTGTGTACGAGTGTGTGTGTTTTATGGTGGGGAGCTTGTTTTCTCTTTGTTATTTAGGTATTGTTTTATGTTTTTGAGTCTCGTTTTCATGTTTATTATTGTATTATGTTTAACGTTATATTCTATTGTCTTGAATAAAAATATACGAGGTCAAATTTAGTCCATAGTGATCATAATTGTCTTTGTCCTGCCCACTTATGTCACATTTATGTCCCTGTATTATTAGCTCCAGTGTGGAAGTCATGGGACAGGCACGGGATTATACGCTCTATGATTCTGACTCCGTGTCGGAAATACTACGATTATGTACAATTCTTAACTGCATACCACTACGTGCGTCTTTAGTCTATTTTTTACAAAAGTCGGATATATTTTTATACTTTTTTGTTTAACTTAAATCATGTTTCAATATTTATTATCAAAATGCAGTATTTGTTTTGGCGTGACATTTAATTTTACACATAAGTGCCTACAGTTATCAAAAGAAACAAAACTAATACACCAGATTAGCTACAGATTATGTGTAAATAAATATGGTGTTTAAATGAATTTAATATTATAGCAGAAAAGTTTAAAAATAATTAAAATATCCCGGTGAGTCTAATTTGTCCCACTGTTGTTATTGTCCGCGAACCGACCGCGAGACGCACGTCGGATTTGTCTGCGTGCGTGTGACGTCATCGCCGGGCTGGGTTTGGTTTGGTTTGCGCAGCGGAGCGTCTTTTTCAGTTTTTCCCGTCTAAATATCGATCTTTCTGCGGGATTATTCAACGAGAGACACTAACAACACCCGTCCGATTGTAAGTAAGGTATATATGCTTAAAAATATGCGATTATTCCTTATTTTTGTCCTTTATAAACGCCAGGATCTATTAAAAGACGCTTTGTTTTGACCGCTACGTGACGTCTGTGCGTAGCGTTTTTAATTTCTAGCTGCATTTCTGTCAATGTTATTATGAAAAATGTTTATAATTTTGAGTTAAATGCTTATAATATTTCCTGGTGGGGTTTTATAGCGTTGTAGGCCGAAGGTTAGCCAGTTCCCAGGGTTATATGAGCAGGATGATCGTTCCACGTGATCTCCTGAATGACCTGTTTTTAAACCAACCTAACCCAATTTACACACAACTTACGAAATAATGTGTAACCAATTACTTTTCACTCAGGTATTTCCAGATAAGGCAAAAATAATGTTATATCAGTGTAATCTGTTGTCTTCTGTAACATAATGGAGCAAAAAGCTTTCATATGCCTACCTGACATTATTATTTGTATTATTTTTAACGTTTATTTCATTCTTAAAGGTTAAAAAGACAATAACAGTGTCAAGAAGTGAATGAAAAGGAGCAGAAAGAAGAGTAATCTCAAGTTATCTGCCCCCTCTTACCTTTTCCAGACAATGATCGTTACTTTAAAACATTTTAAATCAATACATTTCATTTCAAGGACAAATATTAATCAATTGCAAACATTATAACAAAAAATAGTAGCAAAAACAATGTATTTATTAATGAGTTCTTTGTTTAATGAAGAAAAATGTAGAAATTTGTGGTTTTGTTGCTTGAAATACCGATGTTGTGTTAATGTAGGGTGTGTAAAACTTCATAAAAAGCCTAATAATGCACCAAAAAACATGACCATTTTTAGATTTTTTGCAAAGCTTCTATGTGAAAAAGTGATTTCATGATTTCATTAGTCACGCCTGATTCCTTTTACAGTGATGCATAAAGTATAAAAATATATTAACAGTGTAAAAAAATGAATGAAAAGGAGCGTAATCTGAAGAAGAGTAATCTTTAATTACCTGCCCCTTCTCCCATTTTCCAGACAAAACATTAACACTGATTGTTACTTTATTTTGTTACTTTATTTGTTAATTCTTTGTTTTAATAAGCAAAATGTAGAAATTTGTGGCTTTGCTGCTTGAAATACTGATATAGCGTTAATGTAGGGTGTGTAAAACCTCATAAAAAAGCCTAATAATGCACCAAAAACATGATTATTTTTTATTGATTCCTTTTACAGTGATTCAACAACATAGTCTGATGAAAACTCTGTTTGAATTCACCCCTTTTTTTGTCTGAATTCATTTTGGTTTTTTTCTTAAATACTGCTGGAAAAGGCAAACTCCTCAGTGTGATTTACCAGAGACAGGGCGGTTACATGCACACTCAAAACCCGATTATTATCACATTATTGTCATATTTTTTGGAATTATAGGATTATTAAAATGAAGTGTAAACAGCAAAATGGTCTGACTTCATTCTGATCATGGTCCCTGTGACTATTTACATCATATTTTGTATTTTGGCTTTCATTTAAATAATCTTAAAGGTCCAGAAATTAGATAATAATCAGCTTTTGTTGTGCATGTGACCATAGCCAATTACTTTTTCTTGCTTCTTTCTTTATCAGGAGCTGTTGTAGTCCTCCAGTTCTGTCACACCTCTTTGAAAAAATTCTACAAATTCTGAAAAAGATCATTTAAAAAAACTTTTAAAACACAAACCATCAGGTGGAGGTCCCGGGAAAACCCAGGACACGCTGGAGGGACATATCGCTGGTCTCAAAGAATAACTGCCTTTGTCATTTGTGGCGTGTGTGAATGAAACAAAATACAACTCCAGGTCTGTTTTTGATGAAGAAACAACATTATTACACAGATCAGAAAATTTTGTGGGAAAAAATGTTGACATGAGAAGCCCCCACACAGTGAAGTTTCAACATTATTTTAGTCTTAACGCAAAATTCAGTAACTGGTGGTCTAGTTTTTCCACAATGTCACTTTTGAAGTTTAGGCACAATACATTGAAATGTGTCAAAAACCATGGGGCTGACCTGGCCAGATCATTGTGGACTGCTGCGAACTTATGCCTGTATTCACATCATTTTGACATGAGAAACCCCCACTCAGTGAAGTTTCAACATTATTTTAGTCTTAAGGCAAAATTCAGCAGTTTGTGTTTCTAAGCTCCACAGGCGCTGAGAAGCATTTTACGAGCATAAAACGTTGAAACCTCTTATTACTCTTTCATAGAAGCTGTTAGAACCAAGTTTCCAAATGTATAATATACAGGTCCCAAAGTTTTTCTTACACAGCAAAAATGGTATTGATATCTCTTGTAGTTTTTCCACAGTGAATGTCAGTTTGGAAGTTTAGGCACAATAATTTACTGTGAGTTCTAAAACAGAATCCCTCAACTAAAATACAGACACAGTTCACACACAAGGAGAACATTTCTGAAACATCCATTTAACAAAATAAACAAATTTTTAATGTTTGTGTTTCAGGTCTGTGTTTGTGAGCGTCGCTACCAGATCCGTACTCGAGTTGCATCTGTCCCTGGCTGATGATGTCATACAGCCGCGCCGAGTGGTCCCAGCCGCGGGACTTCAGCAGCCTCATCCAGACCTGCAGCGGAAACATCCAGAAGATCACACAGAACAGTGAGCACCGCCTCCAACCCTCTCCAGCATCACTGTTATACATTTGAAGCTTTAGTAGATCTCAAAAATCTGCACGAAATACTTACTTTTTATTCTTTAAGTACATAATTAAACAGATATTTTAATACTTTTACTTAAGTGCATTTTTCAGGAGATGCTTTTATTTTACTTGAGTATGTTTTTGCTCTGGTATTTTTGCTTAAATACCAACACTGCGCACTTCTTCCACCGCTTCTGACAAGTCACACTGCACTGACCTTTTTGTTGAACTTCTTCTTCTGAAATCTCCATGTGTATTTGCTTCTTGCAGCTGGTCAGATTAAGAATCTTTTGTACCAACTGGGAACTGGAAATGAGATCTCCGAGCCTCAGGAGAAGCTGTAAGTCACTCAGTATATTCACATATTTTTCTCCGTGTGACAGGTTGGACGACTCATTTAACTAAAACCTCACAATTTTTTTTCTAGTTTTGTAATTCAAAATCATAATTTTACTTCCTGGTTGAAGACGGGCAACAGATGTGGCGTAGGTAGAGGCATGTTACCAACTAAAATGTTAACAAGAGTCAAAACATGTCTAAACTTCAAGAATTGATTTGAACAATGAAAAAATAATTACAAGGCTTTTATTTGATTAAAACAATGTCTAAACTGTCCAAAAAAATGCCTGTCCATAAATTGTCTGTGTTTTGGGTCAAATTTTTCATATTTTTTGGAACTTACTGATACTTTCTTTATTTTACATTTTTTGTTTTCTACTTTCCTTCACAAACTGCCACTTAACTATATATAAAGTATGAGTTTGCAGAGATTAATAGTACCATATTTTTCAGATTATAAGTCGCACCAGCCAAAAAATGCGTAATGAAGAAAAAAAAAAAAAAAAAAAAAAAAAAATATATATATATATATATATATATATATATATATATATATATATATATATATATATATATATAAAGTCAGTCTGGACTTTTCGGGGAAAATGTATTTTGTAAAATCAGAGACCAGGAACTGACATTTCCTGTTGAAAGTCAAGTTCTAGTAATAACAATAGAAGAGAGAACAACAGACTGTTAAAGTCAAATATGAACAGTTCTTCAGATAAACTATAACATAAACAACAGAACAGAACAAGTTTACCAAACTCTCCATCTCACTCCAAATCACTAAATCCATTCAATTCTTCATCCTCTGTGTCACTTCTGAACAACACGGCCTCGACACCCAGAGGTAAACAGAGCGCCGCTTCCTCTTCTGTGTCGCTGTCGTCAGACTCAGCATCAGTTCCAGTTAGAATTATTAATTAGTATAAGTCGCAGGAAACACCCAAACCATGAAAAATAAAAAAAAGCAACTTATAGTCCGAAAAATACGGTTAATGTATTTTGTGTTTTTCAGGCAGCAGCTTCAGCACTACACAAACCAACTGGCCAAAGAGACAAACCGCCATCTTAAGGACCTGGGGACACTGCCTCCTCCCATGTCTCCATCTGAACAGGTGAGTTTCAAAATATTCCACATAAAAGATTTTAATCTAAAAAGGGACAAAGCACACTGAACAAATGTACAAAAAGTACTAAACTTAAAGATCTTTTGTGTCTTCTATATACCGTGTTTTCTGCACTTATTAGGCGCTCTGCATTATAAGACGCACTGTCATTAAATTATCTATTTTCAAACTTTTTTCACAAATAAACCGCACCGAACTTTAAAGGAAAAACAACAGTTGGATGGGGCAGTGGGACTTTTTTTTGTGGCGTTCACGGTGACTCTGGGCTTTGTTCAGTTGTGGCGTGTAGGGAGGGTGCTGTCTGGGACCGCTGGATTGTCGGCGTGTTCGCAGTAGGGATGGGCATTCGATTAAATTTTCTTAATCGATCATCAAGAGAATTAACGATTGATTATCGATTAATCATTAACGTTTTTTATATTAAAGTTGATCATCATTATTATTACTATCTGCACTACTAATCTGCATAAATAAATTCAACTTTACGACTTATAAACTGTAAACACTCTAGAGCCACAACAGCCTGTTTGACATTATAATGTGTTTAATGCAGCTTTGTGCAAATCTTACTTAAACTTAAAACTGCATGGCTAATTTGCATAAACTAAGCGAAGAAAAAAAAAACGGCTCTTGTGTTGCTGATGCGGCACGACTCAGTAGAATACAGGTTAGTGTGACCATATTTGCGTTTGTCAAAACCAGGACACCGTACGGGGGGAGGGAGGTGGGGACTCCTCATTGACATTGAGCGACTCTCACCTGGCAAAGCTTTTTAATGTGTCCTGGTGAGCTTTTCCCCACTGGACACTAAAACATATGTGCTGCTTTGTACACTGTGCACATGGACTCACACTTGTCCCAACTGGAACGGAAAGCATGGAATTTCTTGTACGAGTCATACGCATTTGCGCTTCGGCACATTGAAGGCTGATCGACCCGTTTGGTCACCCTACACTACGCACAGCAACCTACATTTGGTTTGTCAATTAAAATGAATGTAATGGATGAAATTCTTAATGATCAATTATCGATTAATCGACTAATCATGTCTATCCCTAGTTCGCAGTGACTCAGTTGTGTCTAGAAGTGGCACATTGCACTCACTTTTTCGGTTCGTTCCTCCGTTCCGTTCCTCGTCGGCGTGGAGTAATGAGTGTGTCTGTGGGTGTTTGGCGCTGTGCGGTCGCTGTCTGCTCCGTGTGTGTTTGCATGTTCTGCGGGTGGTGCAGCTTTGTAGTTTACTGAAGTCATACTGGGACACCCGTGTGGATTTGTGTATAGTGCGCTCTGGATTGTGGGGCACGCAGTCATTTTTTGATGAGGTTGGAGGCTTAAGAGCGCGTCTAATAGCCCAGAAAATACGGTAGTTGTAATCTATCATATCATATCATATGTGGATCTTTGTTATAGTTTGGATATTTCAAATCCTCTGATGAATAAGCTGCAAATCGAGTCTTTGCCGTGGCCGCCCTCATCCTCTGGAACTCTCTCCCCTTCACATCAGAACCTCAGACTCACTAAACACCTTTGAAAAACTGCTCAAAACACACATTTTCCTCACAGTGTACAGCGCCCACACATGACTGCTCCTCATGACTGTTTTGTTTGTCCTGTCCTTGTTTTCCTGTTACTTTATTGTGAAACATCTTTGGTTACAGTATAAACTAACAAACAAGCACATGACTTTATTTACAACTTAAAGGCATTATACAGATATTAAGAGTGCACTGCGCAACTTTTCTGGTGGAAGGTCCACTACATTTATTCAGTTTTTATTGCTCAAAGAATACAGTCCCTGACAAAAGTCTTGTCGCTTATCCATTTTGTAGAAACAAAAGCTTATAACCTGACTTGAAATTAATCGATTGGTTTTAGAAATGTCTCATATGAAAGCTAAAACCCTCCCAAATTATGCTCAATAAACTAAAATAAATTTGCTTCACTGAAAAAAGATTGATCATTTAATGAACACAGAAAGGTCAGATTTTGGCAAGACAAAAGTTTTGTCGCCTACAGAAAATTGAACGAATAATTTACTTCAAATACAAAAATATGTTGCATAACGTCAGTGAATGAAGTAGTGGTGCTGTGAGATCCATATTTAATATCTTGTATGACTTCCATGAGCTTGAAGGACGCATCCATGTGGTTCCACAATGATTCATACAATTTGTTGATGAAGTCATCAGGAATAGCAAAGAAAGCGTCTTACATGCCTCCCAGAGTTCATCAAGATTCTTTGGTTTTGCCTTCCATGCTTCCTCTTTCATTCTACCCCAGACATGCTCAATGATGTTCATGTCTGGTGACTGGGCTGGCCAGTCCTGGAGCACCTTGATCTTCTTCGCCTTCAGAAATTTTGATGTAGAGATAGAAGTATGCGATGGAGCACCATCCTGCTGCAAAATTTGACCCCTTTTATGGTTGGGAATGTAAGAGGAGCTAATACTTCTTGATATTTTAGGCTATTGATATTGCCTTCCACCCTGCAAATGTCTCACACACCCCCAGACTGGATGTAACCCCAGGCCATGATTTTTCCGCCACCAAACTTAACTGTTTTCTGGGTGAATCTTGGATCCATGCGGGCTCCAGTAGGTCTCCTGCAATATTTGTGGCAGCTGTGATGTAATTCAACTGAGGATTCATCTGAGAAATCCACCTTCTGCCACTTTTCCAGTGTCCATCCTTTTAGCAGGCTGTGGGCCTTGGCAAATGCCACACGTTTTTTTAATTGCCTTTTGTTTATTGCTGGTTTCTGTGCACTGATTTGACCAGGGAGGCCATTTGGAGACAGAATTCTACAAACTGTTGTGGTTGACACAGGGACTTGAGGTGACCAGGCCTGGTGGAGTCTGCTGCAGTGGAAAAGGGGCCTTGGATTTTCGAATCAACAAACGGTCCTCCCGAGCAGTTGTCTTGCGGGGTCTGCTGGACCTGGGCTTGTCAAAAACATCTCCAGTCACTTCAGATCTTTTTCTTATTCTTTGTACTTGACGCTGAGACACATTGAAGGTGTCACCACCTCAGCAGTGGATCTGGTCTTCAGCCTCTTGATAATTAACACTTTGGTCTCAGGGTGGATCTTAGGCATGTTGTCAGAGGTCAAGTTGCAGTTGATGTGAAGGTCTGGTGTGCTGGGGTTCTTTTTATACACACCCACTAATTGATTGATCAGTAACTGATCACAGGTGAGGCTGTAATCTAGGATTGGGTGCATCATATGACAAGGCGACAAGACTTTTGTCTTGCCAAAATCTGACCTTTCTGTGTTCATTAAATGATCAATCTTTTTTCAGTGAAGCAAATTTATTTTAGTTTATTGAGCATAATTTGGGAGGGTTTTAGCTTTCATATGAGACATTTCTAAAACCAATCGATTAATTTAAAGTCAGGTTATACGATTTAGTTTCTACAAAATGGATAAGTGACAAGACTTTTGTCAGGGACTGTACAGTAATTACCTGGTCCCCGAAGGATTGACCAGGTTTTGTATTCACCCTGTGTGTGTTTGTGTCTGTCCACCCGCATAATTCCGCCATTTATTTACCGATTGTCACCAAATTTGGTTCGTGGGTCAAGCCCCCATGCCCGATACCGCAAAAAAAGTTTGGTGAAGATCCGAGGTCATTTGAGGTCACACGGGTCAATTGAATGTTCACACCATTATAAAGGATAGACAATTTCGGCAATTTCTGAACCATCTGCGACCTTAAATATTCACCCAATCATCACACAAGTTGGCACACACATAACTGGGGCACACTGAATGTTACAGGTTCAAACTGGTCAAGGTCACTTGAAGGTCAAGGTAACCAAGGGCAAATATGTGTTTTTGATCATTACTCCGCGAAGGATTGAGCTAGAGCAAAGGGAGTGGTCTCAAAATCTCAGAAAAAATATTATCTATTTAGAATTCTATGCATTTTTATTGTAAAATATTAGTAGTTTTCCAGATAATCACTAATTATAAGAGGTCCTATCTCTTTCAGTGTATGACGTTACAATTCTAATTGGAACGAAAAATTAATTTCCATTTTTCTGGTGATGCACAACACACTGATCTACAGTCACACAACTAACATATACACAACTCATGAAAAATGACATTTTGGTTAAACACAGACATTCTCATGTGTGACCAAGATCACACAAATGTTCATGGGCCTGTACACATACAAACATTGCATTGTGGATATAATGATCATGTAATATGGGCTGGGCTCCTCATAAACTGCTTCTGTGCTGATGAACTGACCCACCGACGCCTCATGGGGACCAGGTTGCTGTTTCTGATTGTTCTTGTTCCTTCTGTGGATGGAGGCGACTGTCCACAGATCTGAACTGCTTAGACTTTTACTTAGACTTAGACAAACTTTATTGATCCACAAGAGAAATTATCTGGACACAGCAGCTCACACATCACAATATAATATAATAACAAAGAGTAAAAAATATAAATGGGAATAATAAAGTCATCCGTGCCCAGAACAAATATAGTTTACAGAATGTCTCCCTTTTTTTCCACAAACTGAACACAAACACAAACACACTGTGCGTTTATGTTCCAGAGACAACAGAAGCTGCAGAGGGAGCGTCTGATGAGCGACTTCTCGGCGGCGCTCCATAACTTCCAGACGGTTCAGAGACGAGCGGCCGACAAAGAGAAGGAGAGTGTGGCTCGAGCGCGCGCCTCCTCCAGGGCTGCGGTGAGGAACTTTTATTTATTCACACAAAAGAGAATATCTGTTTGTATTACTGACACTGTTATCCACTCTCTGCTACAAATACATGTTCATAAACAAAACCAGTAGTCTGTAGTCTGTAAAAATGTGGAATTTGGTACTGTGCCATCAGATTTAGACAGTAAGTATTTGAGTATTCCAGTTATGATCTGGTTTTCTGAGTATCCTGGTTTCGTGAGTGCCCATGTAAACGCACTATCCTGATTTCAGTATCCTGGATATGCCAGTGTCCAGGTGATGAGAAACCAGGACTGTATTTTTCGGACTATAAGTTGCTCCGGAGTATATGTCACATCAGTCAAAAAATGCATAATGCAGAAGAAAAAAACATATATAAGTCACACTTTTTGGGGGGGGGAAATTTACTTTATGAAAATCAGAGACCAAGAACAGACATTTACTCTTAGTTTCAGAGTAGTTTCAGTGTAGTTAGCTCCTCCCTTCAGGCAGATATAAGGAAGTGTCAAATATACCAAATATATACCAAAATATTTGACCAAAATTAACTTTTGTCCAGTTGACAAGTAGAATTTGTCCTTTTGCCACTGTAATGCAAAGATAAAACTAAATCTTCTGTGGTGGTTTGTGCTGCTCTTGAGGCTGTTGTATTTTTCAACTGTTAAAAACGCCTTTTTCTAAACTGTGACAGAGCTCCACAGTTTCATGTTCTTACCTGAATGTTACTACCTTAATTAGCGCTGAACTTGCAATTAATTAGCCTGTACTGTAAATACTTAATCATAATTATTTCATACTTAGTTGCTCACAAACTAACCATTTGTGTTTGTTTGTGTAAATGCATATTTAAGTACCATGTAAGTACCATGAGAGAATGATATAGTAATACTGCAATGCAATGATAAATCAAAATGTTCTGTGTTGGTTTGTGTTGCGCTTGAACTAAACTGACGCTGTGACGCTGTGTTGTATTTTTCAACTTTTAAAAACACCTTTTTCTGAAGCTGTGACAGTGCTCCACACTCTCATGTTCACCTTACTTAAATGTGTGTCTTCTTTTTTGTTGTTAGAAACCCGTTAAAAGCCTTAAGTTAGTAAAGTTTCTACATGTTTAACTCCTTGCCATAACTGTGCTATAGTTACTACTCTAAATATCCAGGACACTCTGATTCCTCATGTGCGCAGAGATCCGAGTGTCCTGGTTTCTCTGAGCGCAGGTAAACACCACATCAGAATATTGACGTAACCAAGATACCCACGCTCATGTAAACGCACTCAGTGAAAGCTAAAAGTTATGTTAAAAAAATCAACATTAATGCTTTTGTTTTCCAGGGAGATGGAGACAACCTGAACGACCACCTGGTGACATTTGAAAAGTAAGATCATTCTTCACTCATCTTTTTCATTCAGAACCTGCTTGTTTCTGCGGATACGTCAATGCTTTGCCTGGAATTTTCACGGTATGACATTAAACTGCTCTACTTTATATTTATTCAATTTCAAGTGGTTTTATAGCTCAAAAACACCTAGAAAAACAGGCATTCTGGTTATGAGTGTAAGTCGCCTCTCCACAGATCTGACCTGTAACTTGGTCTGGTTTGGTCTCCGTGACGGTAGAAAAAAAGTTTAATACCATACGGTGAAAGATTCCAGACAAAGCAATAACATCTCTATGTTAATCCACAAGTGTAGATTTTAAACAGTGTATAGTTTAGGCTGATATAATAATAATCTAATAAGGGCAGACTCTTTCAAAGGCAGAATCGTCAGCAGTGAAAGCCTCGTCTCCTCTGGTTTTCAGGGGAGTATGTACTTGTAGTGAAGTGTGTGTGGTGTTTGTGCAGAGAGGACGAGTGGGGTCAAGCCGTGACTCAGACTCAGGAGCCGGGAATGACAGAGGAGGACCTGGAGATCATCAGGGAGAGAGAGACCAACATACGACAACTGGAGGTACAGCGCAGACAAAACGTTGTACTAAACTATAACAGTAATTACACTGTTATAAAGGGCTGAACATCAGAAGGTGTAAAGTCAGGTGTACACTGTGCGATTTTTGGCCCTTTTTGAGACTCGTGCGACTGTTTTTGGATCGGGACGATTTTTCAGTCAATCATGTGTCGTGCTTTGTGTAGTAAATTTGGGATAACAAGAACCGATTAACACCTCGCGACCAGCACCTGATCGACAATTGTAGGTTGCAAGAATATCAAACCTGTTTGAATCCAGTCGTCTCTCGTGAGGGTTTCACTCTGTTGAAGTCATTCCACCCATGCGATTTGGTCGTACACTTTGAGCTGGAGCTGAGTGAAACGATCAATGATATCACACTGTGTACGCTCGGCTAGAGTCAGGGAGTGGAGAGAGAGACTGAAACAGGAGTTGTGTTTAGATGGTACCATATACAAATGACACACAACAATTAACAATACGAATGGCCATTTAAAATATAACACTGGTGCGCAGGCCTGCGGAAGAATGTGCAATAAGTCTATTTTTGCCGGTGTCTGATGTCCAGCTGACAAAATCACATGAGCAAAACAGAAAATCAGACATGCAGAACTGACAGATCTGGAGTATTTTCAGAATAAAATATCCCTACACACTACACTGGTACTTGGCAAATGTATTCACCTGTTGTAGACAACCACAGTATCAACAAGCACAAGAAAGTGGTATTCAGTGGCGCGTAAAAGAGGTCGTAGTGTGAAATGTTCCCCATCAACTCTTCTTGTACAATCTAATCTATGGCATGAACTCCCGACCAGAGCGTCTCGGGAGTGCAGTTTCCACACTCTGCCCACAGCCTGTCGCCACGGCACATCAGCAGAGACCGCAGTCAGAGGGGCACAAGTCACAGTAAAACCACACCGCCTCTGCAGTCAGTGCACACCGGGGGTTAGTCGATTCATTGACACTTTGCGGCCGATGTCGTCAACGTTCCCTGTGGGTGTGGAGTTAACTGAAAGCACCACTCTGTTAGAAGCTCTCAAGTTACTCAAATTTAATCTGATGTTTATTTTAACACAATCTGACCAGAAAAAGTTTAAAGTTAGTCAGACAGTGCAGTTAGTACAGATCGAATATCATCACATCATTTGAAAACAAACTACAAGCATCACAAGAGCCTGGTGGTCTACTGTTGAATCCAATAGTTGTGTCCTTAAAGCAACACTATGTAACTTTCTGAAGGTCACCTGCACAATTCCACAGAAATAGAAAGTCAAAACTATACTTGGGAACATTGTCCACTGAGATACGTTCCATGAAAACAGAACATTTCCATAAAAACAGAACATTAAGAGTCAGGTTTGTGGAAATACAAGCCGGCTCACAGTAAGGACACATTTTTCAGTGCAACAAAAAACACGCTGTTAGTCTACGTTTTGGGAAAAATTACACACAGGGGCTTTAAGTTAAACCGAAAATAGAATCAAAATGAGCAGAGTAGAGCAGTCAGATTTTTTTCCATCCATTGTCTTTTTTACTCCAGATTTCCTCACCTTCTCATAACCAACTTTATATTCTTTTTAAAATCTACGCTGTAAATCTGTGCTTGTTCGTAAAGCTATTGTTGTAAGCGTTATTTAAATTGCTTCTGTCCACAGGCTGACATTTTGGACGTGAACCAGATTTTCAAAGACTTGGCTGTGATGATTCACGACCAGGGAGAGATGATCGGTAAGAGCAGAGGGTGTGGGTGTGACTCCTGATCTCTGTGAGTGGAGTGTGTGTGTGCGGCCGGTGTTACTGTGGCAGAGTGGTTTTCCTGACTCTCAGTTGGAGGTTGTGAGTTAAATTCCTCTGTTGTTTCTGTTCTCAGACAGCATTGAGGCGAATGTAGAAAACGCAGAGGTCCATGTGAACAAAGGTGCGGCTCAGCTCCAGAAGGCGGCGTATTACCAGGTGAGTCTGGACCAGCACAAACACAAGAGGAGAAAAAAGTGAAAAAAGGTGAGGAGCTGGATCAGAGAGAGGGAGGGGGAGTGGTCAGAGCAATCACACACAGAGGGAGATCGAAGGAGATGCCTGACTTTTAGTCAAATTGTGCAGATTTAAGTCAAAACTTCTGAAAGGCGAGGACAAGTGAAGAGACATAAAGAGACGAGCTTTTGGTCAGGCTACTTTTACCTAAACAAGAGAACGTAAATCCTCATCACAACACACTTTCTTACTGCTACACGATCGACTGTGGACTTGCCAATTAAAATGCACTCATTTATCGAGACCGACCAAAACTGAGGTCATGATCTAATGATCTTTCGATTTTTGGCACAGCCCTAATATTAGTACTACTACTTTGTACTACTGCATTTAATGCTACTTGTTTATTGTACAATTAGTTTGAGTCATTTACAGTGTTTTGTACAGGGTTGGGTACAGTGTAGAGTAACGTAACTACTTTTCTCGGGTAAAAATAGTGTAACACGCTCCTACTGAAAATTTGGTAACGAAACACAGTTCCTTTTTCAATTTGGCGCAACGTTACTTTTCTGTGTACGCGGGCTGGTCCTTGTCCTGATGGCATAACACAGCTGGGGAGGACAGTCCGACCTGGTTGACAGTCGCACCAGGAGCGGGGGGGGCCCATCCTCACACGGACGGAGAGGGCACAGCGGGCACCCACGGCCCTGGGAAGTGGCGAGGTCCTGGTGGGAGCTGTAAAGCACGACTCGAGCTTTTCCTGGCCGACCCAGAGCCAGTCGCGGCGCACCACCTCGGCGAAAGTACGCTCGGTGGGAACCAGCGACACCAGGGAAGAGGTCCCTCGAGGTGATCTTCCCACACCGAGCAGCCGTCCTTTGCCCACTGAGTTAAATCCCCCGAGCAGACTGCGCAGACCCCGCCCTTTTACGTCTTAACAGTTTCACGTCCTCTTGAACTCTCTTTTCAAACTTCTTTTCAACTTTCCTTTACGATACTATCGGTCTCGTGCCAGTATTTAGTGTTAGATAGAGTTTGTCCCCAAAAAATAACGAGTAAAGTAAAAAGTGACTTTCCATAGAGGGTAACTTAGTGAAGTGGATTGCTTTTTAAAGAAGTAGCAAGTAATGAGCAAACATTACTTTTTTACAGTAACTTCCCCAACACTGGTCATTTAGGTTCAAAATGTTTTCTTGGGTCTTCAAGTAGCATCTGTAAAAAGACATAAAGAATGACTCACCCTTAATGTATTCATGCCCTAAGCTAGTATTATTGTAAATAAACTAAATCCATGTGTCCTGCTTCTATCTCGTGTTTTTCAGAGGAAGTCCCGTAAGAGGATGTGTGTTCTGACCATGGTGCTTTCACTGGTACTGGTAATTCTCATCATCATCATCTGGCAGGCCATCAAATGAGAGCAGAGGTCTCTACTTTACGAGTGTTTTTGAACTGTGCGTGTTTGAGTGAGTGAGTGTATGTGTGTGTGTGTGTGTGTGTGAATGTGTGTGTGTACGACAGCTGCAGCACTGGACCATATGAAACCTGTAACTTAAAGCTAATCACATAGGCTGGGTTCACACTGTGGAGGGTGCAGTGGTCTGTATAATCACCCAACAGAAAATCCAAAAAAATATTGAACTTTGGACCAAATTCGAACCAAATCATTACAGCAAACTAAATCTATCGGTACGACTATTATTATGACAATATTAGTTATGGGATGAGACAAAATTTTACGATACGAGATTGGGTCCACAAGATCTGCAATGCTACTACAATATTTGCATTTTTGTGAATTTTATAAGTCTTGTGAACCCAGTCAATGGAGCTGTCCAATGGGTTGAGTTTCTTTTATATGGAAATGTAGCACAAACATAATGAACTACATAAAACTGACAACAGGCACTAACAATAACACAGTATGGACTTTATGCTATAATATATTTACAGTTTATTTAAAATCATTTATCTTCAGTTATGATGAGATACAAAGGTGTGGATCCACTGTAGGGCCATAAAGTAACAACGAGCCTAAACCAGTTTTTATACCTAAGAGGGAGTGTGGGCTCTATTCACGCTTACGTTACAAAACCGGAAGACTTTTGGAAACATGCAGATGACGACTTCCTTTGGGCTCTGTTGGCGATAGTAACTCTGATAAAAATCTGGGACAATAGCCTGGTTTTCTTCATCTAGATGTCACTCTATTCTTTCTTTTTTTCCTTTTATAGATTGCCTATTAATTTAAGTATTATAATTTGTCTAACTTTCCGTATTTTTCCGACTATAAATCGCTCCAGAGTATAAGTCTCACCAGCCCAAAAATGCGTAATGAAGAAGAAAGAAACATATATAAGTCGCACTTTCTAGGGGAAAATAATTTTATATAATCAGAGACCAGGAACTGACATTTCATCTTGAAAGTCAAGTTGTAGTAAAAACAATAGAAGAGAGAACAACAGACTGTTAACGTCACATATGAACAGTTCTTCAGATAAACTATAACATAAACAACAGAACAGAACAAGTTTAACAAACTCTCCATCTCACTCCAAATCACTAAATCCATTCAATTCTTCATCCTCGGTGTCACTTCTGAGCAACTCCTCGACCTCCGGAGGTAAACAGAGCGTCACTTCCACTTCTGTGTCGCTGTCGTCAGACTCAGCATCAGTTCCAGTTAGAATTATTCCGACCTTTCTGAATCCCGACAGGATGGTTTCGGTGTCACTGAAGTTCAGGCTTTGTTCATCCATCCAGTGACTTCAGGAAAGTTTCATGGTGCATCCTCCCAGTGTCACAAGTTTCTCTCTCACTGCAAACTTTCTTTCTGCTGCTCGATTAATGTTTTCAGCTGCAGAATACAATTTTCTTTTTGGGGGTGTTTATGTTCAGTCTTCTCAGTTGTTTTTATAAGTTATAAGGGTAAGTTGCACTGGAGTATAAGTCGCAGGAAACATCCAAACCATGAACAAAAGTGCGAATTATAGTCAGAAAAATATGTTAATTAAAAAAAAAGATGTAACTGTCGCGTTCCGTTCGGCAGATCAACAGTTACATCCAGCTGCCTGAAAGGGACACTGAAGACGCGATTAGAGTTTCCAAACGTCTTCCGGTAAGCGTGAATAGAGCCCATTCTGTAAAGTAAAATACCCCCTCTTTAATAATTATGAAATGCATAATAACACCTGTGTAGTGTTTTTCAAGATACCCCAAAGACAAACATTATCAGAGACTCAGATCAATACTTTTATATTTTACTTTGAAACAAATAAAGGTACTAAAACCAGGTACTTTAATAATATAATTTAATTTATATTCAATTAAATGGTTGTAGACTTCAGATAATTGACACTTTGCAGTGAGATCATGCTGGGAGCATACATGCATGTCTATGGTAGAATGTTTAGCAGTTACCATGGAAACACGAGGCACACATTAGCAAACGCAGCCTAATACACTTTTAGAGTGGAGTGTGGAAAAGTTGAATACGCTCCGTCGTAGCGTTTCCGTCTTCACTGCCCAAGACGCAAAACTCTGGTCAGATCTGCTCAGGTCGTGTACGAGTTTGTCACATACGTCACCACCGAGCCGCCTGGCATGCAGACCCAAATGAATTTCACACACTATTGCATCACCCTATGCACACAGTTTTCCTCCTGAAGACGCTCATCTAAATGCAGAAAAAAATGTGACGCCACTTTTGCGTCTTCTGTTCAGACCGTCATCATATAAACGTGGCCTTGGATTCTGTCTCAGAATCCTTGCTCAGTCTCCTCCGAGCTCTGCCAACTTCTGCCGTCTGGCAACGTCCTCAAACCTTTGAGTCGGATGGATAAACGAATGCACCATAATATCTGAGTCATTTCACACAGAAAAGACTTTTCAGATCCACAAGTGACACATTTCAGCTGTGGTAACTGCACATTAATTAATTCATCATTGCATTTATACAGCGCCTTTTAAGATACTCAAAGCTCTTTACAGTTCATTATTCAGTCACTTCACACTCAGTGGTGGTAAACTACTACTGTAGCCACAGGTGCCCTGGGGCACACCATTGGCCCCTCCGACCACCACCGTCACTCACACACACACCACTTTCATACTAGGCAATGTGGGTGAAGTGTCTTGCCTAAGGACACAACAACAGTTTTTGCCACTGGCGCCGCACAACGAGGTGCCGTGTGTTCTGCAGTTTTCACACACTTCTCGGACTCCACGGCTTGCATTAAAACTGCACAACGCACGGCTCCAAGTTGTTTAATGTTTACTTAACACGACACATTTTCAGGAGCCTGTGATCAATACGAGCGTCCATGGTCTTGTTAAGAAAACGTGAGAGTGACTAACTAAAAAACTGTTGAGATGGACTTGTTTAACTGCACAAATACTGCTCTTTCTAGTCAGATTGTGTTAAAATAAAGCTCTGATTAAAGTCTAACTTGAGTTCCAGAGCTTCAGACAGAGCAGTGCCTCCAGTGAGCGTCACACCCCCACATCTGCTGCAAAGTGTCAATTACAATGACATTTTTGTAAACTCAAGCTTTAGAGAAAGACTTGACTTCATGGCACAAACACTAATATGAAGCTCTAACCGACACTAAAATAAAATGAAGAAAATGTGATGAAAATAGATGTTTACTTTTATTTAATATTTACACTACAGTAATGTTTATTTGTCCATTTTAACATATGTCGTATTTGTTGGTGCAACTGACTTCTGCTGAAACTGCCAGTCGCTCGTATTTACCTCTTTGTAAAGTGACTCCGTGGAAAAACAACAAAAATAAAGGTTTGTTGCTGAATAAAACTGAAAAATAAAACTGCTCTGTGTAACAAACTGCCACATGTAAATATTTAAACCACAACAAATGCTCTTAAAATACTTAAAAGTTCCATATTACACTGTTTTCTGATCTATGTTCTAATGTTTCCTCCTCACAAACAGACCTGGACTTGTGTTTTGTTTAATTTGCACAAACCCTGCAAATTTAGGTTCTTCTCTCAAACAGAAAACACTGCTGTTCCACCTTGTGATGTCATGTGGTGATACAGGAAGTGTTCCATTGTGTTTTTAAGCTCCATGCACCTTCACTAGAATCATGTGGATAATTTCAGCCCTGGAATTTCCGATCTCTACTCAACTAAAAGTAAAAGGAGCTGTTCACTTGAAAAATGACATCACAAGGTGGAACAGAGCATTTTGAGATTTGGAGATGTAGACAGACAAATAATAAAGTGTTACTCAAACGTGTGAGTGAAACAAACCACAACTCCAGGTACACAGCAAAAACTGGAGGGTTAAAGTTTCAGGGTAAAATATTTGAGTTGTTTTTAATACAAAAAGTGTTAGTTTAACTATTTGAAAGTTAAATGTGGGTTAGAGTTGGGGTTATTTGCCGGAGTTGATATAGTTGGAGTTAATTCCATATTTCCCTTAGTGTTAATTTGGCTCCTCCCACCCACCACTACAAACTCCCACGAGAGAAGACCAGTTTGAGCCAGTTTTGTTCATAATTTCATCTTAAATTAACTAAAATAAAGTGTAAAAATAAACCATGTCTGTGTGTTTAGCTAAATCAGGATAACTCTACAAAAGTGTTAACTGTTTACTCTCAAAACATTCATATAACTCTTGATTTTGGGGTTAAACAGGAACTTTACTATCCTGATTTATCAGCCAGTTTCACTTTGTGGAAACCGTCTGACCTCGCAGCATTAGGATTTATTCACTCAGCAGCAGACAGGTTTTATTTAACCAATCACTGCTGTTTGGTCGCGATGTATGTAATGCGCCACTAATGTTGCTAACTGGTTATATGTTGTTTATATTAAGCTTTTCCCAAATCCTGTAGGAAGAAAGGCAATAAAGTCTTTCCCCATGATAAAATTCACCAAACATTCTCTTTGTTTTAGCTTTAAATCCTCAGTCTCGAGAATCATTGCCAACACAGAATATATGTCTCTTCGCTTATTGGCTGATGCCCGAACTTGCACTTGCAAACCGTCTAGTGTATTTATTCCGATTCCTGACCTAGTCGCTGGAGAGAAATGAAATTGAGCGGAGACACTAGGTGGCGCCAGCCTGGTTAGAACTTTGGTCCATTGTTACTTAATTAACATTCCCAAAATGTTAAATTAACTCTAGAACAGATTGGACTCATATAAACCCTGAGAAAATGTTAAAGTTGATTTTGTGAGAGTGAATTTTAACACTCCACTGTTTGCCGTGTTTGTTTTTGAGGAGGTAACAACATTCTAACATGACTAAAAGCTCACAAGAGTCGATTTTGTGTAATACAGAACCTTTATGTGATTCTGTGGTTGTGTTTTTCTGGAGGAGTTGTAACACAAATACAACGTGCGTATCTACTAGTCTATGGCCTTATCTATTTTCATGCAGCTGTGTAATGTGGGTTTGTAAATTTACACTGGATGAAGCTTTATTACACTTTTTTCCTTGTATTTAGTCTCACTGTAACATATGTAATCAGAATCGTACCACTACTTGCTTTTAAAACTTGTATTATTTATGGAATTTATTTAAAAAAAAACATCTATAGGTTCCAGCCACCACCGTTGCCATAGCAGCAAACAACAATTGAGACCAACATTTTATATATTTTGATTCTTTTAAACCGACCAATACTGCACTTTGGCTTTGCAGCACAATGTCATTTTTACTCTCAAATATGTTCCGTTGTTGTTTTTTTTATTTTTTTTTATTTTAAAGGTGCATTGCGTAACTTTTTTGGTAGAAGGTCCATGTAGATCTCCAGGGAGACAAGACACATCGCTTAGACCAAGTTACAGGTCAGATCTGTGGAGCGTTGGCCCACCTCACTGTAATAATGTGAGTTTTTGAGAAATAAAAACACCCGCAACTGAATAAATACAAGATATATTGGTTTAATGCCGTACTGTGGAACATTTATTCAGACAGTAATGCATAAAACGTGCATAGAAAACGTAAATGCATAAATACAAAACAAAAAATAATGAATGAAATAAAAAATGGAGACAGGCAGATGGCAAATCCTCCACCAGAAAAGTTACACAGTGCACCTTTAATCTGTATATCTGTGTATCTAACCCACATTTGACCAAAAAAAAAAAAACTTATCAAAATATAATCGTTGACAAAATGAACATGTATGAGGAAAATGAAGGAGAAGAGAAAAACTGTAATAATAAAAATCTGCCTCTGTTATGCTGTGTCATGTTTTGTCCACCAGGGGGCGACATAACAATAACAAAACGCTATTTAGACTTTGAAAACTTATAATTATTGATCCACAAGGGGAATTATTTAGACACAGTAGCTCACACATCACAATATATTATAATATTGAATGTGTAATGGAAAAATACACAGAGGTAGAGAAGAAGTAAGAGTATTGTTACTTGACAGAAATGACAGTACTCAGTTTGAAATAAAAAGTAGTAACTCAAATAATTACTCAGTTTGAATTAAAAGTAGTGAGTCAAATTTTACTCAAGTTTAAGTAAAAAAGTACTGGCCCAAATAATAACCAGAGTAAAAATTAGTAACTCTAATATTACTCAGTTTGAAGTAAAAAGTACTGGCCCAAATAATTACCAGAGTAAAAAGAAGTGACCCAAATATTACTCAATTGAAGTAAAAAGTTGTGACGCAAATATTATTCAATTTGAAGTAAAAAGTACTCAGCGAAATATTACTCAGTTTGGAGTAAAAGTACTGACTCAAATGATTACCAGAGTAAAAAGTAGTGACTCAAATATTACTCAATTGAAGTAAAAAGTAGTGACTCAAATATTACTCAATTGAAGTAAAAAGTAGTGACTCAAATATTACTCAATTGAAGTAAAATTAGTGACCCAAATAATTACTAGTGTAAAAAGTAATGACTCAAATATTACTCCGTTCAAAGTAAAAAGCAGTGAGTCAAATATTACTCTGTTTGAAGTAAAAGTACTGACCCGAATAATTACCAGAGTAAAAAGTAGTGATTCAAATATTACTCAGTTTGAAGTAAAAGTAGTGAGTCAAATTTTACTCAAGCTGAAGTAAAAAAGTACTGACCCAAATAATTACCAGAGTAAAAAGCAGTGACTCAAATATTACTCAAATTGAAGTTAAAGTACTAAGCCAAATAATTACTCAGTTTGAAGTAAAAAGTACTGACCCAAATATTGCTCAGGTTGAAGTAAAAATTACTGAGCCAAATATTACTTAGTTTGAAGTAAAAAGTAGTGACTCAAATATTTACCAGAGTAAAAAGTAGTGACTCAAATATTACTAAATTTGAAGTAAAAGTAGTGACCTAAATATTACTCAGTTTAAAGTAAAAGTACTTTGGTTTCAGTTAATATCAGACATTGGCAGATACTTATTTGACATGAGAAAAACTATTAGGTGTTGTATTTTAATAAAATATTCACGGATCAATTTGTGCAGTTGAAAATTTTACATTTTAAATCAGTAATATTTCTTTTTCTTAGTTAATGTTACTCCTCCAGTGAAGAGCAGATTGACCTTCAGAAAAGCAGGGACCTCTTAACGACCTCATCTTCGTTAAGAAAGCTGCGTTTCCATGACGCCGGCAACGCTCTTTACCTCCATCCTCCTCCGCCTCCTCCTCTTCATCATCAGCTCCTCGTCTGCTGCATCACTGTCTGAAGAGCCTCTGAGTGCCCGGGACACTGTGGTGATGTTCGACGTGCTGTACCTGATTTTTACAGTCTTAAAAACAGAACTAGTTCGATTTTTTTATTCTTCACTTACCTTATGCATTCAGACATGGCAACAACTAGCATGTTAACAGTGCACCACTTATAAAACGGCTTTATAATGAGATGCACAGAGGTCACATTCAGAGCTGGTTTTACAATAATCTGTTCTGGGGTAAATCAGGTAAAGGCTCCTAAAGTAATTAATAATAAAAAATAATACACAGCAAAAAAGTGTTAAAATTGACTCTCACAGAATCAACTTTAACATTTTCTCAGGGTTTACATGAGTCCAATCTGTTTTAGATTTAATTTAACATTTTTTGGAAATGTTAATTAAGTAAAACTGGACCAAAGTTCCTGTTTAACTCCAAAATCAAGAGTTATATTAATGTTTTGAAAGTAAATGGATAACACTTTCTAGAGTTATCCTGATTTAGCTCAACAACACAGAGTTTGTTTTATTTTTACACTTTATTTTAGTTTATTTAAAAGTGAAATTATGAACAAAACCCAACTCAAACCCTTTTAACTTTTAAATAAATAGTTTAAATAACACTTTTTGTGTTAAAAACAACTCTGAAATATTTTACCCTGAAATTTTAACCCTCCAGTTTTTGCGGAGTACATTTATACAGTGTTTTTCAGGACACTCAAAAGTCGCTTTACCGAATAATTATTATAGAGTTATAAATGTATTTAATGTAAGGTCATTTATTACAATTTACTCAAGTTTTTATACTTCCCTGTTTATACTGGAGTGAACGTGGGGGGAGTATTTTTACCAGTGAGATAACACATGTTTTCTGTGCTGAAGCACCCTCAGGTTAGTCAGTCTGGCGCCACCTAGTGTCTCCACTCAATTTCATTTCTCTCCAGCGACTAAGTCAGGAATCAGAATACACTAGACGTTTGCAAAAACCCTGGACGTGCGAGTCCAGGCACCAGCCAATCAGTGAAGAGACAGACATTCTGTGTTGGCAACGATTCCCGAGATCGAGGATTTAAAGTCGAAATAAAGAGAATGTTTGGTGAATTTTATCAAGGGAAAGACGTTGCTTTCTTCCTACGGGATTTGGGAAAAGCTTAATATACCAGTTAGCCCCGTTGACAAAAGCAAATATGGTCACACTAACCTGTATTCCACTGAGTCGTGTCGCATCAGCGACACAAGAGCTGTTGTTTTTTTCTTTGCTTATTTTATGCAAATTAGCCATGAGGTTTTAAGTTTTGCTTCTGTGAGACTTGCACAAATCTGCATTAAATACGGTTATATGTCGTAAAGCTGAATTTATTTATGCAGATTAGTGCAGATAGTAATAATAAGCATTTGCCCACTGATCTAAAGGTTGGCGGTTCGATTCCAGCTCTCGACATAAACATCACAGGTTGAGCGGTCAGATCCACTGACCCACAGGTTGGCTGGTGTGATTCCAGCTCCCACAGATGAATGCTGTTGCTGTGTCCTTGGGCAAGACACTTAACCCACCTTGCCCACAGTGTCTGCGTACACTGGTGTGTGAATGGGTGAGTGGTTCCTTGTTGTAAAGCGCTTTGAGAGCCTTGAAGGTGGAAAAGCTCTATAGAAAAATGTGACCAATTACCATTTTACCATAATGGTGATCATTTTAATATAAAAACATTAATGATTAATCGATAATCGATCGTTAAGTCTCTCAACGATCGATTAAGTAAATTTAATCGAATGCCCATCCCTATTAACCTTATATAAAGATTTACTACAAGGACAGTGGTAAATTTGTATATTTTTTTTCCAGTTTTTTTTTCCATATGGGCATTATAACATAGATCAGAAAATAGTGTCATATGAGCCTTTAATTGTCGTCTTTGTGATTGGATAATTGCGGCAAATCATTACAGTTTCAATACAGTCCTGATCCTCTCCGGCCCGACCCCCCGGACTAACATAATTATAATCTTTAGAAGCACTTTGTCTATAATAAGCTTCCGTTTGCCGTGTCGGTGATAGTGTTCTTGTCTTTTCTTCTCGTCTGCGGTGTCTTTAGGTATAGAAAAGTGGTTGTGGAGCCCGGGGGAGACTCACCACTGATTTGATGCTTCGAGTGTTCGAGTGATTGACCTTGGACGTGTTTACTCCCATAACCTCGTGTTGTGGTCAGGGGCTTAACGGCGCCGAGTTTTACCAGATTTTTACTTATTTAAAAGGCACATTTTACAATCCGTGTCATTCATTTTTCAAAATAAAACCAAAAAAATAAATAAATAAATAAAAAAAACTGCTATTTTCTTCATTATTTGTCTCCAAAACCAAAATGAAAAAACAGATAATGATTCATTTTTTTCAGTTTTTGATTTTGTGTTTAAATGAAAAATGGAAAAACGGATAACGGACGTTTCCAGTTTCTGTGACTTAAAACTGTGATGCAGGACTGAACCAGGACTAAACCGTTTTCAGTCCTGGTCTGGTCCTGGTCTCAGTCCCGGTCTGGTCCTGGTCTCAATCACTGCCTGGTCCTGGTCTGGTCCCGACCTCAGTCCCGGTCTGGTTCCTGTCTGGTCCCGGACCTGGTTTAGTCCTCGTTCAGTCCTGTTTTAGTCCTGATTTAGTCCTGTTTTAGTCCTGGTTTAGTCCTGTTTTAGTCCTGTTTTACTCCTGGTTTAGTCCTGTTTTAGTCCTGGTTTAGTCTTGGTTTAGTCCTGGTTTAGTCCTGGTTCAGTCTGTCATCAGTTTTTTCCATTATTCGTCTAAACACAAAATCAAAAACTGAAAAAACGAATCATTATCTGTTTTTTTTTCATTTTGGTTTTGGAGACAAATAATGAAGAAAACAGTTATATTTTCGTTTTGTTATTTTTGGTTTTATATTGAAAAACAAATGAACGACTGACACAGGAATGTATTACTTTCTTTATGTTATAATGTTGTTTCCTCATCACAAACAGACCTGTAGTCGAACTTCAAGTGGAAGGTCTGGATTTAGATTTAAATAGTCATACTGTGAAACATACCAGTGTCAGGAAAAGCAATAAGATCTCCATGGTGACGAGCAGGTGCACCTTTAGAACGGTCTCTGGATTTTTTATATAGACGGATCTTCATCAATGTTTGAAGAGGGTGACGAGACAATTAAAATGGCTTCTGTTCTTATATTATTTGGAACGGTAGGTGTTTGTGTAATAAAAGAGAAGAGAAAAATTAGAGTTTTTTTCTTATTTCATTCATAATACCATCATTTCCGGACTATTGCGCGCCTGAATATAAGGCGCAGGTGTCCACATCTTTAAGAACGTTTTCAAGTTCTGGCCGTCTGCTTTTATCGCCTCTGAAAGCTTTTGTCGTCTTTTTGAGTCAGTTCATCACGCTGCCGTCGCCAACGTCTCACCATCGACTCACTGATGCCGAGCTCAATTTCTTTCTTCGACAGCCTTTAAACTTAAAATCTGCATCGTCTGCATTTCTTCGTGTGTTTTCCACGAGGAGGGTGTGTGCATGAAGCGCAAAATAACTGTTCAAAA